TTGGAATCAAATTTCTATTTCTTCATGACTTTAAAGACTACCAACATTTCTTGAGCTGCAATAAAATGTGTCAATACTTATCTTGGACTTGGACATCACACTGCTACAACTACATATTTTTTTCTATGTTGAATAAGTGAAGTGACTTTCTGAATTCAGTTTTTTGTGAGAACAATCTGTATTTTTTCTCTGCAAATTTGTGTGTGTGTGTGTGTGTATCAGGAACAACTTGAGAAACTGCAAGTCACTTTTGGTGTGAGAGAATTGGCCATTTCCAAGGACGTTACCTAGGGGATGCCTGGATGTTTTACCATCCTCTGGAAGGGTTCTCTCATGTCCCTGAATGAGAAGCTGGAGCTGACAAATGGGTACTAACCCCACTCCCTGGATTCGAACCACCAGCCTTTTGGTCAGCAATCCTGCCAGCACAAGGGTTTAACCCATTGCACCAATCTACTTAAAACATATTTTTGTCTTTAGCTTACAGAGAGGAGGAAGATTCGAATATTATGTTTTACAACTTTGACTGAAACACGGCACCTTACTCTGGCTTGTTGACTGCGGATAAAATATATAACAATGGTTCTTTTAACAGTTTTTAATTGTTTTTATATTGATTAGTTGTTTCACTTTGTAAGTTTAATAGATATATATTTATATTTCTCCTGCATCTTTGGCTTCACAATCTCTGAGGATGCCTGCCATATTTAACAGCAACTTGGTGAGTAGCTGTTATAGTTTGTAATAGATTTTTTTATCCATGGGGATATTTGTTCATTTTGTATTGTTTTATGGCACTGAGTGTTTGACATCCTTTGTTGGAACCATGCTGAGTCCCCCCAGGGAGATAGAGCAGGTTATAAATAAAATTATTATTATTATTATTATTATTATTATTATTATTATTATTATTATTATTAATTATCCACAGCCACAATACTCTCTAAAAAAGAGAGTTGAAATCACTTTAAACAATCCAACTGCTGCAGAGAAGAAACAGGTTGAGTCAATATCTTCAGATTATAGCATGTAGCCACTGCATTTTCCCTTCACAGGGGCACAGAAAACTGTCTTTTATTAGATTACAGTCTGGGCTCATCTAGCCGGATCTTGAGTTAAATCCGCTATAAGACCTACCTGGACCAAACTGACTGAGATTAATGGAGTTTTAAATTAGTTGGCACTCCTCTGGGTATGAGGCAGAGTAAGGTCATCCCATGACTTCACATCTAAAATTTCTAACTGGGAGTCAAGGGATTGAATATGACACCTTGTGCATGGCGTGCATTAGTTCTACATCTAAATGCCAGTACCCTTCATCATGTGGTCATTCAGTAAATAAACAATTAAATAAATAATGGCAACACCATCCAACATCTTGAGGTTTTTCTTTAAGCCAGAGTAATAATCATATAGTTCCCCACATGGTGATGGATTGCAAATCCCAACATCCTCACTACTGGCTATACGGGGAAGGACTATTGGTGCCCAACAACCTCTGGAGAGCCACATGATTCCCATGCCTTTTGTCAAGCCATACCTTTTGTCAACCTGGGTTTGTAGTTGGGAGGGTAACATGAACCCATTTTAGCCACTGACCTTTCTGAGGCACAAGAATTGCACAGAAGAAAGACACATAACCACATCTGTTCTTAAGAAATACTTTTTTGGCTCCATACAAGCTCTCCCATTAGAAGCAGTGTCATTCTTTACTTCTTCAAAAGCATCCAGCATTTGACAATCCATTGTAATAGAAATATATAGATCAAGATAGTATAGCGCTTCGGGGCGATTGTGCAGAACTGAATAGAAATATATAGATTGAGATAGCATACTGTTTCAGGACTATTGTGCAAAACTGAATAGAAATGTATAGATCGAGAAAACATACTACTTCAAGACTATTGTGCAGAACGGAATACTATCAAGAAATCAAAATATGGATATGAAGGAAGGAGAGGTAATTCTGAAAAGGCACCCAACTCACTATAAACAATGCAGGCTTGCATTATCATGCTCTTCCTTAAAAACTAAGATATTAATTATGAAACGAGCTTTCGTAAACTCGGGTCCACTTCACGGAATACATAGAGTGCAAAATGCAAGCCCAGGTTGCAACATACTTTCATTATTGCCAACAGAAACAAGTCAGCACGCAGGATCAAGAATGCATTCCCCCATTATTGGAAAAAGGCAGTAAGCCATTTATCTGAATCATGCAAACACAGCTAGCTAATGCACAAGCTAAATGAACAAAGTACCATCCCAGGGGAACAGACACACGAAAGACTAGGTCTCATGTAGTCTTGAATCACTGCTTGGCAAGGTAGACTTGGACAGGTGCAGCTTGTCTTCTCTAGGAAATGCTCTCTGGCAAACCGGACTGTCTTAAAACTAGTATTGCACCCAAAATTCACATCAGTCATATATCATCTTAACCAGGATTTGGATTCACAAAAGTGCATGCACATTTTGGAAGGGATTTTTTTAAAGCATTGAAGGAGCCAAGTGTTTAAGTTTTCCACCCTTCTGTCCAATCACAAGGAATTTAGGGAAATCAATGGCAAGTGCACCTTTCCTTAAGGGGGAGCCACGAGTCACAAGAGTGCCTTATGTTTTGATAACTTTATGGGGAAAATGTTTGATTTTTTTTAAAAAATAATGTAATACAATGTAATATCATTTCCTATATACTGTAGATTAGGAAAAGGCAAACTTCGGCTCTCAAGAGTATTTTGGACTTAAACCGGCTGTTAGGAATTGTGGGAGTTGAAGTCCAAAACACCTGGAGGGCCGAAGTTTGCCCATGCCTGCTGTAGATGCTGCTGCTATGGTATTGTATATTAAAACAACAATAAATAAAGGCGTCGTTAGACATTGAAACCCCTTTGAATAATAATAATAATAATAACTTTTTTTTCCTAGACCACACCTCTCTCCCAAAAGGGACTCTGGGCAGTTGACAGCACAAAAACAGGCAAACATTCAATGCCTTAGAAAGTAACAAACAACATCAGGAATAATACAAAATAATACACAATAATAGACATAGACTTATAATGAAAGAATTAAATGTTGAGATGGGGGATAAACTAATTAGACAATAAAGTAGGACGTGTAAACATTAAACATATATAATCAAAAACAGACATGAGTTGCATATGAAATGGCTAACACGGGTGCCTATTAGTTTGCCCATGCCAGATCGACAGGACTTCTGGCCCTAACCTGTACAAGAGCGAAATGACACTTTGAGATGACAAAATGCCCTTGCACTTGGTCTGTCCCCAAAGCAAGGAGAATGATTTTTATTAAATTATTGAACATCCATGCAATCACAGTTTATCCCCTTGTAAATGCACTCCTTGTGATTTAACATAGTAACTCCAGTGTTGTTGCCACTCTTCACACAGCAGTCTTCACTTGAGATGTTGCTCAATGCCCACCTCCCAGCTGCCTGGACGTTTTCTACTGCCCCAAAATGATGTCCTTTGAGGTGGGTTTTGAGCTTCAGGAGAGAAATCGCACAGAGCCAAGTCAGGGCTTTCACACATTGAGCCACATTGTTCTCACTTCTTGAAGTGGATTAATGGGTTAAACCCTTGTGCCAGCAGGACTGCTGACCAACAGATTGGCGGTTCGAATTCAGGGAGCACAGTGAGCTACTATCTCAGCTCTAGCTTCCCATGTGGGGACATGAGAGAAGCCTCCCATGGGATGGCAAAACATTAAACATCTGGGTGTCTGCTGGGCAAGGTCCTTGCAGACAGCCAATTCTCTTTCAACTGTCAGGAGTGCTTTGAATGAGACTTTCCTGCTTCTTGGCTGGACTGGATGGCCCATGAGGTCTCTTCCCACTCTATGATTCTATGAGAAGTGACTTGTGGTTTCTCAAGTCGCTCCTGACATCAAAAAAAAACTTCTTGAAGCTGAAGAAAGCTGCTCCAGACTCTTTTGCAAGGAGGGCTTTGAAGTCTTCAAAGGAAGGCTACAGTTATGAAGAGTGGCAACAAGGCTGGAATCCCGGGAATCTAGAGTTGGAGGAGACCACCGGTGGCATCCAGTCCAACCCCCTGTCATGCAGGGAAAGCACCATCAAGGCATTCCTGACAGATGGCCACCCAGTTTAGTGGCCATTCTTGGGGGGGGGGGTGCTTTGATTGCGCAATCAATCACAAGCAGCCTGTTTTCACAGAATCATAGAATGATAGCCTTGGAAGCGACCTCATGGGCCATCCAGTCCAACCCCCTTCCAGGAAGCAGGAAAATCACCTTCAAAACACCCCTGACAGATGGCCATCCAGCCTCTCTTTAAAAGCCTAAAAAGGAGAAGCCTCCACCACACACTGGAGCAGAGAGTTCCACTGCTGAACAGCTCTCACAGTTAGGAAGTTCTTCCTCATGTTCAGGTGGAATCTCGTTTCCTGTAGTTTGAAGCCATTGTTCCCTTCTCTAGTGTGATGAAGTACTAGTCTCCAGGGCAGCAGAAAACAAGGAAAATCGAGGGAAGGAGCTGTCGTTGCATGGATGTTCAATACAAAAACATGTTTTTGATGGGTTGTTGTAGGTTTTTCAGGCCATGTTCTAAAAGCATCTGTGGCAAGCATCCTCAGAGGTTGTGAAGTTTGTTGGAAATTAGGAAAATTGGGTTTGATGCTTCTCATGACTTTGGGGACAGGCTAGTTCTGTGCCACTCTCTCTCCCCACGAGAGTTCCAAAGATCCCGTCACGGTTCGACGTCCCAAGTTGACTAACTGGGAAGAGCTCAGGAGAGAGGGAGTGGTGCAAGGTGTGACTCTCCCCTCACAACACTTCCAAAGACCCCTTCAGGATTAGACATTCAAAGTTGACTGAGTGGGAAGAGCTCAGGACACCTGAAGGCGGAGAGTGAGGCCAGAGGGGAAGGAAAGGGAGACAGGGCAGCCACCGCAACGTGGAGAAGCGGGGAAAGAAGGCTCCGTGGGAGGGAGGGGGGAGACCATTCTGTGAAAAAGGCTTACCTTGAGGTGGGCGCTGCTGCGGCTGAGGGCGGCCAGTTCCCTGAGGCTGGCGGCGGCGGAGGCGGCGGCCAAGGCCACACTCGGGGATCCGCCGGGGTTGGCGGCAGGGGCCGCGCCGCTCCCTCCTCCTCCTCCCGATGCTGCTGCTGCGGGGCCCGCGGGGCCTGCGTGGCTGCTGCTGCTGCTGCTGCTTCCGCGGGGCGAGGGGCTTCCCGGCGGGGCTGCCCCGTTGCCGTTGCCCGCCCCTCCGCCTCCCCCGCCTCCCCCTCCGCGGGGCCGCTGCCGGATGCCGTCCAGGAGCCGGACGAGGAGGATGTTGGCGGGCAGCTCGTCCACGCCGCAGCCGACCAGGATGCGGCACTCGGGGCAGCGCAGCTCGTGCCGGGAGCTGACGATGCTCTCGAGGCAGCGGCGGCAGAAGGTGTGCTGGCAGGGCAGCACCTTGGCCGTGGTGTCCAGCCGCTCCAGGCACACCGAGCACTCCAGCAGGTCCAGCAAGGAGGACTCGTCCATGGCCGAGGCGAGGGCGGCCGAGGAGGCGGCGGCGGAGGAGGAGGAGGAGAACAACAACGGCGGGGCCGCCAAGCCGCCCTCTCCCCCGCCGCCGCCCCCTCCTCCTCCGCCTCCCGCCGCCGCCGCCGCCCCGGGAGCCGAAGCCGCCCGCCGCCGCCGCCTCTCCTCCGCGGCCCGCTTCTCGGCGGCGGCCGCCTTGGAGGAGCACAGCCAGGACGCCCCTAGCAGCATGGGTCTGGCTGCATGGCCAGCAAGGGGACGGCAGCAAGCCACAAGAGCCGGGCGACCCTCGCCCGCAGCTTCACGGGGGCTTCACAGGGGCCTCCTCCTCGCTTCCATGGCTCCAAGAGGGACACCCCAAGCAGGAGGCACCTGTTTCCTTCCTTCTCTCTCTCTCTCTCTCTCTCTCTCTCTCCTTCCTTCTCAGTCGCCCTCCAGCCGAAGGATCCCTCTGCGCGCCCTCAGGGCTGGAGCCTCGCCTCGCCTCCTCCTCCTCCTCCTCTTCCTCCTCCTCAGAGACCGCGAGGCAAGGCCAGGGCTCTCACTCCGCCTCGGGGGCTGGCATCCTCCTTCCAAAGGGGTGGGGACGCGGGAGGAATCCTCCTAAGTGGGAAGAGGCAGGGCACGGAGACCCCCAGCGCAGGGGCAACGCTCTTCCCGCGATTCCTTCTCTCAGGCAACTCCGGGCGGAAAGAAGGAAGGAAGGAAGGGCTCCTCCGCCAAGGCTGGCAGACGCCCACTCCTCCTCCGCCTTGGACCGCGCGCCTGCTTCTCCTCCTCCTCCTCCTCCTCCTCCTCCTCCTCCTCCTGTTCCTCCCTCAAGGCTGAGGCGAAAGCCAAGGCGCCTCAAGGGTGCTTCCTCCCCCGACTCCTCCGGAGACACCTCTCGGTGGTCTTCATCCCTTCATCGTCGCCATGGAGCGCCTCCCTGGACCCCCACAGCCCATCGCGACGCTCCAGAGCCCTCACCTCGGGCCTCACCATCCAGGAGGCGGTGGGTTGGGATGGGAAGAGAGAGGGAGAAGGGGTGCTTCGTTTCCTCCTCTCTCCTCTCCTCTCCTCTTCCACGCCACTCTCGGCGAGCGTCAGAGCAACGGAAAGACCTCCCCCAGGAGCAATCCGAGAAGAAGAAGAAGAAGCAGCAGCAGCTGCCGGGGAAGTTTGCCGAAGTTTCTTCCCTTCGGAGGCGGGAGCGTCCCATTCCTTACCGTGGGCTTCCCTCTAGTGGCCTCCAAGGCTCAGAACATCTGGCCGGCTGGATGAGCCAGGGAGGGACGGGGGGGGGGGGATCCATTGATCCTGGAAAGGGCCAGGCTTCCTCATGGTTTCCGCCTCATTACTTAACTTTTCGAGAAGCAGACTGGTGGGACACAGGACAGGAGTGCCCTTCGGGGTAGAGAAAGGCGGGGTTATTTATTTCTCGTATCAGAAGCGGCTTAGAAATGGAGGTGAGCACCACACCCCACAGTGGGACACGACTGGACCATGTCAGGGGAAAACCTTTACCTTTACCTATCAGAAGCGAACCAAGGGTACCGTTGCAATGTATTTAAAAACACAAACATTATACTAAATGTCCTTTGACCAGGAGCTGGCCACTTGGAGTGCTTCTGGGGTTGCTGTGAGAAGGTCCTCCATTGGGCATGTGGCAGGTCTCAGGCTGCATTGTATTAGGTGGTCTGTTGTTTGCTCTTCTCCACATTCACATGTCAAGGACTCCACTTTGAAGCGCTATTTCTTAAGGTTGGCTCTGCATCTCCTCGTGACGCAGCACAGTCTGTTCAGCACCTTCCAAATATTCTGTGTGCCCAGGGGAGAGTCTCTCATTTGGTATTGGTCATGGCTTGAGGTTCCAGGTTTTAGCCTGCCACATTTGGACTCTCGCTTGCTGAGGTGTTCTGTAGATCTTAGGAAACAATTCCTTGATTTAAGGCATTGGCGTGCTGGCTGATATCCAAACGGGATGGACTGGAGTTGTCACTGCCTTGGTCCTTTCATTATTGGCTGCCAGTTCCCGGTGGATATCAGGTGGTGCAATACCAGCTAAACCAGGAATGGGCAAACTTCAGCCCTCCAGATGTTTTGGACTTCAACTGCCACAATTCCTAACCTGGGAGTTCGAGTCCAAAACACCTGGAGGGCCAAAGTTTGCTCATGCCTGGGCTAAATAGTATAATTTCTCCAATGGTGTTGGACATAGGCATCCTGTGATAATGCGGCCTTTCTCATTAAGAGCCACAGCCACTGTTTTAACATTGTGAGATGTGTTCCCCACTGGGCATGTGTACTCAGCAGCAGAGTAGCAAAGGGCAAAGGCAGATGTCTTCACTGTGTCTGGTTGTGATCCCAGGTTGTGCCAGTCAGCTTCGTATGATATTGTTTCTAGCACCCACTTTTTGCTTGATAGTCAAGCAGTGCTTCTTGTAGGTCAGAACACGGGAGAGGTGTAAATAGGGTAAATAAAATCCATGGCTGGAAGATCTTTGTGTGATTTCCAGCAATACATCAGAAAGGATTTCCTGATTTGCAGTTCAGACTATCATCAAGAAAATGCAGCCACACACCACACATACAATCTTGTGGTGAAACAAAAGCTTACACTAGCCAAGATTTTTTTTTTGTTTAATGTGAAATGCTGTGGTTGGTGTTATTTGCCTTCAAGTCAGCAGTGACATAAGGAAGCCTTGTCTTGCTTGGCAAGATTTATTCAGAGGAGGTTTGCTACTTGCTGCCCAATAAGCCGAGAGAGACAAATTGGCCCAAGGTCATCCAGAGGATTTCCATGGCTGAGTGAGGATTTGAATACATCCATAATAGTCCAACCTTCAAACAGCTACACCAGGCTGGTACACTGGGACTGCCATTCAGATTTCTCCAGACACATTTCTCAGCTCATCTTGGATTCTAATGTCTCAAATGTGGGTCATTTGAAATAGCTTCTTTGGGTTGGTGCATCTTGGGAAAAACCAACCCGCTTACAAACTAAAGCCTGACCACAGTGCAGCCACACACAAATCCCACTGCTGTAAAGCAGGCATGGGCAAACTTGGGCCCTTCAGGTGTTTTGGACTTCAATTCCCACCATTCCTAACAGCCTCAGGCCCTTTCCTGAAAAGGAAGGGGCCTGAGGCTGTTAGGAATGGTGGGAGTTGAAGTCCAAAGCACCTGGAGGGCACAAGGTTGCCCATGCCAACTGTAAAACGTGGGGTGGACACAACTGGAGGACTGGTCTTCCAAATAAGTCTCTTTTGAGAAGTCCCGACATTTGATCAAACATTTCCATAATATATTTCAAAAAAAAAATATCCAGGACTTGTCTATTACATTGGCCAACACACATTTTGGTGTCCCTGTTTGTTGGTATATTTGATCTGCTGATTCCAAAAATGGCACCACTTTCCCCCTCTCAACTCTAGTTTTTGAGATACAGAGTACTCCTTTCTTCCTTGTTTCCTTCCTTCTCTCCTTCCCTACTTTCTTCCCTCCATTCTTCCTTCCTCCCTTCCTTCTCTCCTTCCCTACTTCCTTCCTTCTCTCATTCCCTACTTCCTTCCCTCCATTCTTCCTTCCTTCCTTCCTTCCTTCCTTCCTTCCTTCCTTCCTATACCAGTTGCCATCTGCTTGCCCACTAAAAAGTATGATAACCATATCAAAGAAACTAGAGCTGATGTGGTCTATCCAACACCATTTTTCTGAATCAGCACCCCAAGTAACCCCCAGAAATAGGCCTAAAACCAAAAACACCAAGAAAAAAGTATTGTCTGAACTACTACCTCTGGTGTATATGTGTATATCTCCTATACACATAATAAAAGTGAAAATATGTGTGTATGTGGCAGGGATGTCCACTTACACACAAGCTCCTGCCTCCACAAACAGCTATAACTTCCACTACTCAGGAGACACCAAAGGCCCTCCCTCCAATGACATTGCATGTTATAGCGAGTGCCATGAACTTGTACAAGAGCCTTCCCATGTCCTCCACAAATGCCATACTCACCATCACCAAGTGAATGTTTTCATTTGAGGACAATTTCCTTCTAGATTTTATATTTTTCCTCTACCATAGACACCTTAGTGTTTCTTACTCTCACCACTGCCTCTCCCATAACCCTTTCCTAGTCTTCTGTATGGCACAAAGCAAATCGAGAGAAACTGATCAGCAACAGAACATACTGGAGGAGTTTGGTGAGCTGATGGAAGTTGTAATTCATCCTGCACAAACAATGGACCTGGATCAATTTTGGCACATGGAACCCCCATGACCAACAAAAAAAAAAAATGCTGGAGAGGCTTGGGGGTTAGTTGACCTTGATGTATAGGAGTTGCAGGTACTGGGATGTATAGATCACCTGCAATCAAAAAGCACTCTGAACCCCTCCAGTGATGAACCTGGAACTAACTCAGCACACAGATCCCCCGTGACCAACAAAAAACACTGGAAGTCTTTGTGGGGATATATAGGAGTTGTAGTTCACCTATATCCAGAGAGTGCTGTGAATCGAACCTGGACCATACTTGCCACACAGACCCAACATCGGCAAGTTTGAATTTTTGGGAATTGCAGTTCACCCATATTCTAATGGGAGCATTCATAAAAAACAAAAGCAAATACTAACTTTTTTCTAATAAATAACCTTACAAATTACCAAACTGATATTACCCAACATCCAAAAACAAACAATGCATTTTGTAAATAACCCGAGCATTGCCGGGTACCCAAACTAATATATAATATAAACACATATATATTTATATAACAATGGTATTTTAGCCTCCTTTTTAAGTTCTGACCTGATTCTTCACACTGGTCCCAATGCCAAGAACGGAACTCCCGACTCAAAAACAGGAAACATGATGTTGCTGACAGGAAAGGAGATTTAAAGATGGGCTCAAAGCCAACCTTAAAAACTGTGGCATAGACACAGAGAACTGGGAAGCCCTGGCCCTTGAGTGCTCTAACAGGAGGTCAGCTGTGACCAGCAGTGCTGCAGAATTCGAAGAGGCATGAAAGGAGGGCAAAAGGGAGAAATGTACCAAGAGAAAGGTGTGTCAAGCTAACCCTGACCGGGACTACTTTTTATCTGTAAACCGATGTCCTCATTGCAGGAGAACATGCAGATCAAGAATAGGGCTCCACAGCCACCTACGGACTCATCGCTAAGACACTACACTTGGAGGACCATCATCCTCAGGCTACAAGGGATCACCAAAGTAAGCAAGTGCCAAGAGAAACAAAAGAGCATTGCTCAATGTATTAAAATTGCTTAAATGCTATTAACATTGAACCAGACTAAAAATGTTGCACCTGTCCCAGCTATCAATGTCAACCTTTCCCCTTTCCTTCCTTCCCTCCTACCTCCATACACACTATTCTCAAAGGAGTTGATGTAACCCTGTGCCTATAATTTTCTCTGCCAAAAGTTTTGAGAAAACACAAAGACCTCTCAGGAAGCAAAAATATGGATGAAGGAGGAAATATAGAGGAAAACGAACAGAAGCAGGCAGGGGATGTAATTTTTTTCACAGCCCATGATTTATTTAGTAACAAGATTAAGGGCATAATCCAAAACCAACCTTTCATGTCTTTGTCCTACTGCAAATCACTGCTTTATGCCATCCCACCCTCCTGTGCATGAAAACATTTTGTGGTTTTTGGTCACTCTTCTGCCCGTCCCTTGAGCTGCACTTTTAATAAATCATCCATTAATGCCGCCTGCATGCAATTACGGACCCAAACAGTCCTGCTGTCTGCCTGCCTCTTACATATAGCTAATATTGATAAGGCCACTTCTCAGCATAATATTGATAAGGCCACTTCTCAGTCACAGGAGAACCACTGCCCCCAAGGAAAACATTAAACACAGAATTGAGGGAGCACGAAGCTCTGCTCTCCAACCATGCCTTCTGAGAAAGTCTCTCTTTTCAGTCGATGAGCTTCAAGCTAACCTATGGCTTTGTGGATAAGGCTTCCCCTACTTTAGAAGTCAGATGCTCCTTTGTTGCTGAGTAATGCTCAGCAGTGTCCTTGTAGAAAAAGACCAAACCATCCAAGAAGATAAACTATAAATAATACTGGTGTACAGAGAAATGTGAAATACAAGCATCAAGGACTTAAAGT